AATGAGGGGTGTGGCCCATCAGGTGGGGGCGGTGCCAGCTGGGGGCTTGGTTAATTTCACTCAAGGTGGGGATGGTCCCAGCCAGGTGGCTCAGAGCTGAGAAATGATCAACCCCCCCCATCCGGGGATCTCAAAGCACCCAGCAGCTGCCCTTCCCCCACTCACACCTCCCGGGCACCATCCCTGATTTATAAAGGGGTAAAGCCGCCATCCCCCATCCCCCCCAGCTCTAGGTATCAATTAGAATCAGCCCCAGGTGCCTCTTGTAGGGCCCATCAGTAGCCAGGGCTGCTATGACTATTGGAGGAGAATGACTCCCACTGGGATGGGGCAGCTAGTGGGTAGAGCGGGGAGGGGCAGGGAACCATACTAGTCCCACCCCCCTTCCTTTGTGCCTCAGTTTTACCTCCTGTGAAATGGGCAGTGCAGACACAGGCCCAGCTACCAGAGTCCCAGCTTACAGGTGTGAGGTGAGGCACAGCCCAAGGGGGGGGGGAACAACGGGGGCTAATGGGTGTGTTATAGCAGGTAAAACAAGGCCCAGAACAGACCCTACAGTGAATTAGGACAGAGCTGGGGAGAGAACCCAGGCATCCTGGCTCCCAGTCCCCTTTGCTCCAATCACTAGACCTCACTCCCCTCCCAGAGCCAAGCTGCAACCCAAGAGTCCCTTTCCTCTCTCTACCCCCACCAGGCCTGCCCTCGATTTTTATACCACATCTATTTTCTCTCTTCCGGCCTCAGCCCCTTTTGAATTTCATCAAAGCAAACGAGGAACCAGAAATGCTGAGAATTTCCTGAGAAACAAAACAAGAGTTAGGGAACCCCACCCTCCTGACCCCAACGATGGAAGGGGGAGACAATCTTGTGGTAGGAGAAGGGGGCTGGGAGCCAGGACCCTGGGTTCTATCCCCAGCACTAAAAGTGAGGACTAGTGGTTAGAGCTGCCAGGTTCTGCTCCTCACCGACTCAAGCGGCTGTTTAATCCCTCCCGCTCCCTGGTGGTGCCACGTCCCGTAGCCCCACTGGCCTTGCTGAGACAAACTCTCCTTTCCAGAAGCCCATCCAGCTGCTTTCGGGGAAGCGCAGGGTCATAGATCACCATCCACCTGAGCTTTATCAGGCAGCCCCAGAAGCCGCCTGTCCTGCTCTGATACCCAGCTCCAGATAAAGCCCCGGGAAACTTTCCATCTGAGCCGGGGAAGGCAGGACCTGCTGGGTGAGGGAGTGAAGGGGGCTGCAGGTCGGGATTGAGGGGCACACCAAAGCTGGGGTGGGGACAGGGCTGGAATGGGCTGGGTGGGGGCCTGCTTCATTGCCCCCTTGCAGCCAAATCCTGAGCCCCCAAGCCAGGAGCACGTTGGCCTCTGGGAGTCTGGTGCCGGCTTTGGACCTGCCCAGGGACTGCCAGGTGCTGGGGGAAAAACATACAAAGGGGGAACAACATACAATGGGAATCCCCCCTCCCCTCTGCCCACCCCCAGCCTCACTCTCTTCCCAGAAGCCCTGGTGTCTCTCCCCCTGCCCCACGGGGTCCAGGCCACAGAGCCTGCAGCCTCCCAAGGGAGTGGGGGTTCACAGCCTCAGGCTGACAGCTGGACTGAGGTAGGGAGCAGGTTCCCCTCCCCCTGGCTGCTCTGACCCCTAACAGTTCCCAGCTCTGCACAGCTCTCGGGGCTGCTGGCGGTTAGGGGCTGCGGGGCCCTGATCAGCAGCTCCTGTCGCACCAGGCCATGTGCAAGCCCTGATTAGCACGGATGGAGGAGTGGGGGGGAGGAGGGAGATCAGACAGGCTACCAGGGCCCAGCCTCCCAGGCCCCACCACAAGCTGGGGAAAGGTCGGGGCCCTTATCCCCATGATGCAGAGGCAAAAACCAAACCTGAGATCTCCCAGCAAGTCAGAGCAGGGCCAGGAATAGAACCCTGCTCTGGGCTGATGGAGGCTGCTGGGGCAAGAGTGAGGGGCACTGGCAGGGGCTGCGGGTCGGGCAGGCTACCAGGGCCCAGCCTCCCAGGCCCCACCACAAGCTGGGGAAAGGTCGGGGCCCTTATCCCCATGATGCAGAGGCAAAAACCAAACCTGAGATCTCCCAGCAAGTCAGAGCAGGGCCAGGAATAGAACCCTGCTCTGGGCTGATGGAGGCTGCTGGGGCAAGAGTGAGGGGCACTGGCAGGGGCTGCGGGTCGGGAGCGAGGGGCCACTGGTATGTGCCCCCTGTACATACAGGCCTGCCAGAGGCCAAGTGGGTAGAAAAGGGGAAGCGATTTGTTCCCCAAATCCGGCCAGTTATGGCTCCTTGACAGTCCTATCCCCACCCAGGGCATGACCCCGGCCAAGCACAGACCATGTGGCCCTTGGGGCCAGCCCTCCCTGTGAACTTCTGGATGCTCTCAGAGTGAAGGTGGGGCATGGTAGGGAGAACTCCCCTTACACAGCCGCCAGCATATCTCCCTGTGCCCCAGAGGAACCCAGCTTCTCTCTGACCTCACCTCACCTCACCATCCCCATCCCTGAGAGGCATTGGTGTCAGCAGTGGGATCCCCCATATTTCCCTAAGCAGTCAAGCTGTCTCTGCTTGTGAGACAACTCTTTGTCTCTCCCCCTCCTGCCCACACACAAGGCCCCCAGAGTTAATGGGGCTGAGAGTTAATGTCACTCTGAATTGCTATGGGGCAGCTCCCCATGCTGGGGGCAATGGGCTTAGGCTCTCTGCTGACTCAGGCAGAGTTTCCTCTCGCGGTGACATTGAGAACTGGGCCCTAGACACAGGTCAAGAGCCCCTGGCATTAAAGTAGCCTTGCCCCTTCTGCATTCAAGAACTGAGGCGGCAGCTCTCGCCTGCCCATACCTCTCTGCATCAGAACTCAGGTGGGCCCCCGCCTCCCCGCAGCCGGAAGGGGCGACCCTGCACAAGGGCCTCTGACCCAGCAGGAGAACTGGATTCTTGGAAATTGGGTGCAAAAAAGAGTTAAAGGATCTTTTAAAAAGGGGGTTGCACTGGCACGAGGGCTCCGCCCTAGCCTCACACACCTGTTCTATTCCCTGCTCTGTCCCCAGTGTGCTGCATGAGCCTGAGCAAGTCCCCTCCCCCACAGTGCCTCAGTTTCCCCTCCCACCTTCTGTCTGTTTAGACTTTGAGCTCTTTGGGGCAAGGACTGTCACTCACTCCGTCTGGGCAGCTCCTGGCACAAGGAGGCGCTGATCTCGGTCAGGGACTGGGCAGTGCCCAGCACGATGGGGTCCATTACACAGACCTACTATATATTTGAGAGAGTTTGTCTGTCCGCCTGTGAGTCTGTCTGAATGCCTCCTAAATGGCAAGGGCTGGGACCACCAAATTTGGGATGTGGCTTCCTCTTATAACTCAAAGCAGGGCCCGGGTTTGGTTGTGCCAGGACAATGGGATGTGCCTGGAAGGGGATTGCTTCTCATCAAACCATACCAAAAAGAGATGGCAGCTGAAAGGGGCTAGCAGGGGGCACCCCCCCCTCCCACAGGGCTGCCCCAGCCACAAGCCTCCCACCCCCCAGGAGCCCTTTAGGGAGGGAAGGGGCGGCTGCAGCCCCCCACCCCCATTCATACAGGAACATTACCAGCTGTTCCCCTTGATCAGGGAGCCATGGGGAAAGTGCGCAGTTTGCTGCATCCTGCACCCTGGACCTACCCCACCGGGCTGTGCCTGCTGGAGCTGCAGCAGCCACGGAGAGGCGCTTCTCACCTGGCCCCCAGCTGCTGCGGTGAGAGACGGCTGGGGTTGTCCTCACTCCCCGGGGGCAGCCTCCCTACCAAACCCTTCCTTCCCAGCCTCACCCCCCAGCAAGGATTGAAATGAAGCCTGGACATTTTCACTGTCCAAAAAGCCAAACGGAACGGAGTCAAGGACCTGAGCACGCCAGGTAAGCCTGCTAGTAGTAAATCAATAAGGAGAGGGCTGGGGTGGGGTAGGGCATGACCTGCCCTGCTGGTGACATCACGACACAGGGACCTTTTCACCTCATTGGGCTCCTCGCATCCTCTGCCTCTCCCCACACCCGCCCCCAGCAATTTGAGGAAGTGGGTTCGGTTGCACTTTCCACATTCTAACCTCAAGGGTTTTTCTGAGAAACGCCGTCTTCCCCCCACGGTCAGAGGCGGAGACCCAGGGTCACTTCCCCCCCCCCCTTGGGGCTTCCATGGCCAAACGTCTTCCCGGCACTCTCAGGGAAACTGAGGCACGGAGTGGCAACATGACGTGCCCAAGGTCACCAGCGAGTCAGTGGCAGAGGCGAGAACAGATCCCAGGATTCCAGAACTCTCCTCTCCCACCCCAGGAGCCTCCCAGGCCCCTTCCTCAAGCTGCATTGTCGGAGCTCTGTGGGATGGGGGGAGCCCAGGGCTGGGGCTGCAGGTCGGGAGTGAGGGGCACCCTAACCCACTCCCCACCCTTTTGTCCTGCTTTGCTCCTACACAGCACAAGCATCTCAAAGGGGCTGGCGGCCAGGCCGTGGGGGGGCAGCAACCCATGGTCAGTGCTGCCCCCTGCTGGCCAAACCCCGCCCTGCGGGGGGGTAGCGCACGCTGAGAGAGGGGCTGGTTTTGCCCCACGTGGTCGGCCTCCCCCCGCGTTTCCCCTTGTGCAACATCCTTCGCACGCCCCCTCTCGGCGGCCAATCAGGGATGGAGGCTTGTCAGTCACGCCCCCACCCCTTGGCTCCCTCCCTCAGCCCCTCCCCCTGCTTTGTGACCCCAAATCTCTGCTCCGCAGGCAGCAGGCCCTGCGCTCCAGCGGTTGCAAGCGGCTGTTGGCAGCCCGCAGATGTTGCACACACATGCAGCGCGCACCCCTCGGGGCAAGCGGCTGTTGCAAGCGGGCGGGGCGGATGTGGCAGGCATGCG